CTCATGATATATCTTGATATCAAGTGCACAACTGATGCAGGAACTATATGGTAATGAATGACATATGAAGAGTACCATATAGTATATTTGAGGATTTTATCGTGATTTAATCGATCTTATTTGAGGCAGTATATGCTCTCTATCGCTGGCGTCGTTGGGGACAGCGACAACCAGCGTCGGGCACGGCGGCACTGTGACATCACTGATGCGACAGGCGGTGTCAGCCCTTTCTAGGCAACTGTCTATTTTCGTATGTGGGTCCACGCAACGCTACCGCTTGAGCCAGTGGCACCGCCGGAGTCTCCTACTCTGCTATCCTACAAGGCTCGCGGTGTTCCCGGTGCTTCCGCCGGAGTTAGGAGAAACGGCTTTCGAGTCTTATAAGAGTGGACTCACTGCTCAATCGTCCACTCTTATAAGCCTCGTTCTTTGGGAAGGTCAGGTGCACTACCCACGCTCCTCCTGCGCCTGCGATGGCTGTCGTGCCGACAGGGCGGCAGGCTGTCTAAATCCCCATAAATGTGCCACCACTGCGCAGAGATCCTCCAGGCCCTACCAGCAATCTCAAACCCAGGTCACTGCCCACCAGATGATAACTTAACCCTAACTCACCACCGTTTGGAAAAAAACCATCAGGCGCGCCTCACCCGCGACCGCATTACTTTCAACCCCACCATGATGCTCAAGACATCTCTTGCTGAAGTCTTCAGAGTTTTTGCGAACATCGATGCTAAACAGATCTCCCTGGCCTATCGGCTTGCAGCGCCTGCCCCGGGTGTTAATCTGGAGGATGAGCACATAACCCTGTACACGGATGGCTCATGTGAGGACAACGGGAAACTCACCGCTCGCACAGGAGCTGGCATTTTTGTTGCACCTAACCACCCCCTCAATCGGGCACTCCGTGTCCCCGGCCCTCTCCAGTCTAACCAAGTTGGAGAACTGGCCGCTATTATTGTGGCGCTCCAACTGGTTGATTGCTTTGCCCCTGTGACAATCATATCCGACTCCCTGTATGCCATTGAAGGACTCACCTCCCACCTGGGCAACTGGGAGGATAAGGGCTGGATTAATGTCTCGAATGCCCCATTCTTCCAAGCCGCAGCTTACCAACTCCGTCTGCAGCCACACACTTCCAGTGGATAAAGGGCCATAGCGGCCACCCAGGCAACGAGGCTGCTGATGCCCTTGCCAAGGAAGGTGCCCGAAAGGACATCCCTGACAATATTGACATTACCGTCCCTGACAAATTTTGTCTCGAAGGAGCAAAACTATCAGAACTCACCCAGTCAATCGCCTACAAGGGCATCCGTAACCTAAAGAAAAATAAGGTCAAACGTCGTCGCGCAGCGACTGTGAATATCGACCGAGTACGCTATGGTATTCACGAAATCACCCACCAGCTTGAAACAGATAGCCAGATCTGGCAATCGTGGCGCAATCGTAACCTGAGGCCCGAAATCCGTCAATACCTGCATAAAGCTTTCCATGGCACACAGAAAATTGGGGATTACTGGGATCCAATTCCCAACTACGGCCACCGAGCTGTATGTCCCTATTGTGGTGACACGACCGAAACGATGGAACACATCTGGCTGGAATGTGACGCACCTGAACGCCGAATCATTTGGCATCTCGCGGCATCCCTGTGGCCCGAACAGAACGGCCCATGGCCAAACCTCGCCTTTGGCGCTATCCTGGGCTGTGGTAAACTATCCATTCCCACATCGAATGCCCCTAACGCTGAACAGAACCCTGGGGCAGAGCAAGGTGATGGACCTGGTAGGAAGCACACGGCCGCTGGGATGTCCCGCCTCCTCCAAATCCTTGTCTCGGAGTCAGCACACCTAATCTGGGCGCTTCGTTGTCTACGAGTCATCCAGGAAAAAACACTATCCCCTCGAGCCATCTGCGCAAGATGGATGAACAACATAAATAAATGACTATCTATTGACAGACACTGTGCGGCAGAGCCTCTTAGTCAGGCCCTGACTAGCAGTGACCAGCTCTAACTCTACGGCCGAAGTCAGCGATAGATGTCTGTATCGACTAACTTAGGTAGCCACCTTGTAATTAGGTCTGACCACGTGAGCAAGTCACGTACGCGTCAAGCTCATTCATCTTTCACCACGACTAGGTCTACCAATGCCTATCTAACTGGGATAGGCCAGTACAGTCGTTCCACGCCAACTCTCGCAAGTATTCACTTGAACTATATCTCATAAACTCGCCCGAGTTTAGTTTCTGGCTAGCTAGCTGAGTTCGAAACACCGCTGGCGCGCACTTAAGCCGTAGTCGTCTCGTACTTCTCTCTCTTCCTCGCTCCTCTCGCTCCCCTGCTCTCCTCTCCCTTCATTCGCCCCTCCTCGATCTCCTGCTTCTCGCGCTTCCTACGTCTCGCGGCTACTCTTCAAGATTTAGTCTCTTTTTGCGGCGGCAGAAGCCTGAGTTACCCAATGAAGATGAGCACTGGACACGTACTCGAAGTAAGTATATGGACTCGCTGGGGTCGACGCTGGATGTCAGCAGTCAGGACAATGGCCACAACATCCCGATGGTGAGCACTGCCTTATGTTCTTGAAGTGGATGTCCGGCTTGCATGAGTCAGCTCGGAGGCTCCAACAGACGGTGGTGGCACTTCGTGCGGCGTCGCTGGCTGACTCGGGGGTACATCCGGACTACGGTAATGTGGGGCCGACATAGAGCTATATGTCTGGGCCACCTGTGGTGCCTGTTGGCAAATTTGTACGTCGACGCGATGCAAACCCCGCGCATCCTAACTAATCTCGCAGTTGGTTTGACTGCAGATAGGCTTAAATGTGGAGATATAGGCATATATGCATGCAATATGTAAGTGCATTTGCAAGGTGACATAGAAGTATGAGGGGAGGCCAGTGCTGACAAGAACTGAATTATAGTACCAGGACTGGGGTGTCAGTGCATCGCCTCCTCTCCAGCTCCAGGTAGCATCTAATGTTTATGGTCTAGGTTCGGGACTATGCGCATATATGGTCCGCTGGGGCAACAGGCACCTTGCGACAGTGCACTCTGACCCGCTCGTGGTCTAGACAAGGAGCCTCATGTTATTGGAGAGGAGAGGTACACTGTGAGTATGGGTGTTCGAAGGGCAACATGTTCTGTAATTGTGTCTCGAATATTTATAGCTATTTATGTCAATCTGGATATAAGGATGGATATATAGGTTCCAGATACATGAACTACCTGTAGCACTGAATAATACAGGAAGTCTGACCTAGTAAG